TGACAACTTCATACTCATGCATGACAATGCACGCCCTCATGCCGCTTCACGGAATATTTGAACGAAGTTGGTATTACCCAAATTGCATGACCAGCGCGTAGTCCCGATCTAAATCCCATCGAGCATGTTTGGGATATGCTCGGTAGAAGGATTCGAAGCCGGGTACCTGCTCCTCTTACCGTGGATTAGCTCAGAGTGGCTCTTTTAGAGAAATGGGAAGCAATTCCACAGAATGAATTATTCAACTTGATTAACAGTATGCATAGAAAAATGAATGCCGTTATACAGTCTCGTGGAGGTAATACGAGGAATTAATTAGACAAACAAGTGTTAAATACTGGTTTTATTAAATTGTTTTTGTGTTTCTGATGATAATTATTGTGTAACTGTTAATAAATTTATTTTCTTTGTGTTAATGTTTACAGACGTTATTCTCTTGAAATAAAAGCTTTCCGGAAACATTTCTTGAAGAAAGCACATTTTAAAATCCGTGTCTATCGTTGACAAAAGTTACAAAACAACAAATATAAAATTGAGGCATTTGAATAAAAAATTATGGGGTGTCCGTTTTTCGTGCCGGTGAGATATATTGATGCTTCCTTTAAATTTCAGTTCTTTTAACAATTTTTTTAATCAGTTCATCAGTTGGCGACATTGTCGTGTTGTTTATAGATACATTTTATGTAAATTATCAATTCGAATTTTTTCTTATTTGTAAGCATTAAAATTGTTTACTTCTTATAGTGTGATAGTTTTTTTTATTGATGTCTGGCTTCGACAACTTAGGTCATTAGCCTTATGTTCCATGTAGGTTATGGATTGTATTAGTAGTCTAACACTCCATAGTGCAGGACAGGAATTCTTATGTGCGAACTCAACTCGTAACGAATTGAATAGAGAGAGACATTACATAAGAATCGCCTTCTGTGGAACAAAGATAGGCGTCTCAACACATGCCGTATTGAAATATGAGAATCCCAATGCAGGAGTGCTAGTACTCTAATACTCATGCGCCCCTACAGACAGGCCTTGTTACTGTTTCCCTGTGCCACTTTAGAAACAGCACTGTTAATTAGAACCCAACAGTGAATAGTGGGGATCCTACCTATGCATTAGAATTATTTATTATTTTTTTTAATTAAATATAAATCCCTGCCACCGGTGGGATTCGATCCTGAGACCTCTCGATCTCAAAGTCACGACTTAACCAACCCCCCTATAGTTTGATAGTGTTTGTATTAAAAATTAAATTTGCGAAAAGCCCCCAGCATATTGCAATCTATATGGTGTTAAAAGGTTGCATATCAAAATCAAAACGGAAGTTTTCATTATTTTTCCACACGTAAGTCATAAAATTTTGTTTCTTGCGATAAATGTATATCTACAAATTCACATTATTGAGATTTTGCAACATTTGATATCTAGAATCACACTGCATTCTCCATTGTCACAGTTTTATGCTTACGTTTACAGAGTGCTACAACGTTCACTTGAGAATATAAGATTTTTTTTTAATTTTTTGAAGATTCCTGGAACCTTCCTTTAGATTTTAGACGAAAAATGTTGCTGCAGCTAGATGGTGCTCCCGCTCATTTTTCGAAAAATGTCAGGACATATTTAAACCAAAAATTTCCTGAGAAATGGATAGGAATAAGAGGCCACAGCTCTGGGACGAATCCTAAAAAAATAGATTCGAATCATGATTCCGAATCACGGATCCTATGTCCGAATCTTTTTTACAAAAAATGGATTTGAATCACTTGATTTTTTTGGATCACGAATACGAATCACTGTCAGTATCAGACCATGGTATTATGTATGCTTCCGAATCTAATATTGTCTACTAGCAACTATGGGTCTATAACGGAATATAACGTGCATAAAAATTGTTGTTACAAGATGTTTTATAATATAAACTATTTTTTTCTATGAATATGAACCATACATAAATTAGAATCTACAAAAAATATATTTTTTATTCGAATGTGACATAAAACGTCGTTTTTTCGGACAGACAAAGGGTCCTATGATTGAACGTTTATGTTATCCATAACGTACATGTTAGGTCGAATTTTAACAGTAATGAAGCAAGTTTGTATGATGGAAAACTGTTAAATTAGAACATAACAGGCGGAAAATAACAGTAATGTGTTGGAAACCGTTTTTCATCATACGAACTTGCCTAATTACTGTTAAAACTGAGCCCTACATGTACGTTACGGATAACGTAAACGTTCAATCATAGGACCCAATAATTGAAAACGAGAACTTTTAAATAACAAATGAATTACTAAAAAGCACTTTTAGGTCCCAGGCCGCAAAATTGAAGCGGCTCGGCTATATAAATAATCTGCTTAATTTTTTATTTAACTTTTAATACTGCTGACGATATTTTTTTGCAATTGTAAAATAGTAGTCCATAATCCATATGTACATCAATTTTGAATAGAAACATTTTTAATTGAATAAGAGCAAAACTAAATAAAGTACCTATAATTAAATCGATTTGACATAAGCACACCAACATGAAAGCAATTGTTCAATTGTTATCAAGAATATACCCACCTAGTCATTCTTATCGATCACAGCTATCTCAGTTATAATAAAAATTGGAAATAGTATTATTTGGTTTTAATTTTCTATATTTTTTAATATCTATGTAGGTTATGGTATTTTCGAACTCTACGAGTCGCCCTTAAAACTTTTCGTTCTTATAACATAAACTACTATTATTTTAATATAAAAAACAAAATAATAAACAATGAAATAAAAATGTCTTTTGGTTGGCCTTACATAGCACCAAAATTTCAAAGTTTTTATCTGTCAGGCCGTTCTTACGAAGTGCGTCGATTATACCTGCAAACATAAATAATTGTTCGAATGCACCAGACGAAGGAAGGGTAGTCTTAAATTTTAGGAATTTTTTATGTTTGATATTCACTGCTAATTTGTAGATTATTACGTTTATCTTCTAAATATTCAAAATCAGTTTACACTTCGCGACAGGTCAAAGCTGGACATGTTCAATCCTTTTTACAGAGTTGTTGTAGAATAGACACCATATGGTAGAGCTGTACTCCAAAATCGACCTAACATATGCAACATAAACCATTCTACAGGCATCTAAAGATAGCGAGCTAGAGTTTCTTATCAGCATACCTAACATTTTCATTGATCTATTAACAATTTGCCAGGGCCGCCGAGAGCCAGGCCGGGCCCCAGGACAATTTGTCTACGTCGGGTCCCGTGACAAAAAAAATCTTTAACCAAAAACTGTTCCTCTGTTGCCGGGCCCCCCTTACAGCGCTGCCGGGCCCCCCATTTAAGCCCGGGCCACGGGAATTAGTCCCGGCTACCCCCCCTCTAGTCGGCCCTGCACGCTGCATTCTACCAATGAGATAACTTTTAAGCCACTCTAGAAGAAAAGGGGGATTCCCTAGCCTTGCAATTTGAGTAACAATATTTCGTGATTGAATTGTTCAAACGCTTTAGAGAAGTCTGAATATATAGCATCTACTTGCAAACCGTTTTCTACAGAATTTATTATGTCATTGTGATAACAAGATTAGTTGCAGTAGATTTTCCTTTTGTTAAACTGTATTGCTGATCAATAAGTAAGTTTTCGCAGTGCCAAGATAAACAATTATTTACCAGCTTCTAAAATAATTTTGGAATAGAGGATTGAATCGAAATTGGTCTGTAGTTCTTTTCCTGCTTGGATCTGCTTTTGAATACAGGTATAACATAACTCTTTCCAAGAGTAGGAAATTGTTGTTTTAGTGATAAATTAAACAATATGTGTAGTGGTTTACATAAAGAGTAAATGCAAAGTTCTAGGAAATACGATGGAATTCCATCAGGACCACAGCTTAGTTTATCACGTAAGGAACTAATACCATTGAATATATCCTGAGGAGGTAAAACTTAAATGACAGTTATTAGAGATTAATTTAATATTATTGTTATAATTTTTATAAAAATATTCGGCAAATAGCATAGAAATAGATTTACCATCGCTACCTACATTGTCGTCCAGTGTAATCTGATCAGGAAGTTGAGAACTTTTATTTATTGAATTAAAGTAAGACCAGAACTGATGAGGATCATTTGAACTATTAACATTGTTTATATAACTATCATAGTATTCATTGGATAAAGTCTTACACCTGCATCTTAAACTTGAAAATTGTAAATTGAACTTGCTTTATGTCTAAAAAGATCAATAAAGTACTAATAACATAAATAAAAGTTCCTGGGACGTTACGAGTCCTCTCGTTATACCTAGTCATACTTCCGATGATACTTCCGAACAATAATTGAATACACTGGTGCAAAAAAGGAGGCAGCTCCTTTTTTATAGTATTCTTCTTTTTATAGTGGAATATACTAATAAAAGGACGCTCTTTTAATTGGTACAAGAACGAGGCAGCAATCTTGATTTATACAGGGGTTATATGGAATATATGTTTATCCTCTACTTCAGTTCGGTACAAAAAGGAGACAGCATCTCAACTTATTTTTAAATGGTGTACTTTAACTAAATTATTTAAGTGTAAAATTTTGACCCAATATTGTATTCTTTACTAAAAACTACATCTTGATGTACAAAAAATTCAAATATTCTTAAATTTAAATTGTTTTTACGTTCTCCTGAAAAATTAATAAAAACGGAGCTACCCCTTTTGCACCAGTGTCTTCAATTATGTTGGCGTTAAAAAATAAACCAGATTATTTACTGTTTTGATCGAAGACGGCGAATCCTTTGAAGCGGGAACCAAATACCGACTCCTATCGGAGAACAATACGTGAATAAGTATGGAATACGGAATAAATGAATAGGAGCGAAAATCATCTACACTCACGTTCGCGAAATTTTCATAGTCATTTGCACGTGAGTCTGAAAGTGGTTTTACAGTTAGCTATATTGCTGGCAGGTTGGGAGTAGTTGTAATAGCTCTGAATATGAAAAGAAAAAGTTATGGATAAGCAAGAATACTTACGTTGGATATTCTATATGCCTAAATCCGGTATGCCTGGGATATATATCGGCAATTGGGACAACGGCAGCCACCAACCACCTATTAGATCGTCCACAATCGAAATACGGCTCCGTAAATTTTACAGGACCTGGAATTTCATCGGCCCCGGGAGGACCGTGGAAAGTAAACGTTTCGTTTGTATTATTGGCGTATCGAATCTCAATTTGATACGTGGTTTTCGTATCGTGCCGTTCCGCGACCTTGTCAGGCAGCCATTTTTTGTACCAAGAGTTTATCCGGTAGTAATCTGAGGTATAATCGCTGCTAGTTTCTGGAGGTATGGCCCCCAAATCGTGTACGGTGAATGTATTCAACGTGGAAATGCGTTCTAAATGTATTGGATCGTTAAAGTCGTCTGCTCTGAAAGTCCTTGGTGCGAATCTGGAACAAAACAGTATATTTTATTTATTCACGAAATAAATTCTTGATTTATATTGCAATGTATTTATTTTAGTAATAACATTATTAAATGATGCAACAGGAATAATTCACCAACAGTTGTCGGCTGCAAAATTGTTTTCATTTGAATGATATATTCCAGGGGTTGCCAACACTGTGTAGTTTTGTTTTACTTCATCTTAAGTTTTATTTTACATTTTCTAGGACATTTGATTTTTCTAACACCATGCTATAGGAGTTGTCCTCCTTTTCAGGGTAGTATGGTCTGATTACATAGTAATTCCTAAGTGTTTGCTCCTGGGATCTGTGTAACAGTGGTGAAGCATCCATTGATACAGGTGATGTGTCACATTCCTTCCAAAATATTTTCAGTTAATATTTTTTTATTTGAAATAAAATCAGTAAGATCTCTTATAATACATGTAAACTCTTAGTGAATTTATTCAAATAATTAAATTCAATTTCAATTATTTATGTGTATTTGTCGAGCTTTATAGAATATGCTACTACACTACAAATAGAAATATTTCGACAGGCGACAGGTTATGATGTGAGATATATAAACTATCCTACTTTTAATTTTTTTAATATTTTGATAATTTTTTTGTATATTTTATTTGTCCAAAATTAAAGACTTTAATAAAAAAAAAAACTTTTATTGTTTTTATAAAATGTAAATCGCAGTTACTCAGTACATCCCCTTGTATCGATGCATCGCTTCGCTACTGGTAGCAGGTTGTGTTGTGTCTTCAATTTCCAACCTTAAATATGGACAAGTCCATAGTATAAGGTGACTTTTGTGTACATAAGATCTACTTTTTATTTTTAAAAAAATGTGTCACGAACGACTTGTCATAGGAGTAGTCTAAGAGGGGAGGAGGGGGTGTGAAATACATACTGTTTATATTTATTATGCTTTGTGTGGCATATAAGCAAAATATATGTTCAATAAACTTTTTTTTTAATGACTTCGCACTATTTAGTCTTATGCCCTATATCACACACGTGTGGATAAATTTACTTTCCACCCGTGTGTGAATATGAATCTACTTTCCGCATAAAGAAAGAAGAAATCTTGCTATTAGAGTAATACGAAATGAAAAACGGAAATATTATGAGCATAAGATAGATGACTATAAAAATAATACAACGGAATTGTGGAAAACACTAAAAACGTTGGTTCCAAATAATGTGGCCAATACGGATTTTTTAGAAATTGAACAGAAAACCATAGATGAGTTGAAGATATACCAGATAATTTGAATTCTTTCTACATTGAGAGTATTGATAAAATTGATAAAAATGGTCCAGACTTCCCCATTAATATTAATCGGGAAAATATCAGTAACTTTTCCAAATTTACTTTAATTGATTTTAGTACGCTTAAAAAAATTATTTTCTCAATGCCCAATAAGAACAGTCCAGATGGTATAGGCATGGCATTTATAAAAAATATGACAATATTGCTAAACCCTTGATAAATGTTATCAATACTTCTTTAGAATCTGGTAAAGTCCCAGATGATATCAAGGTCTCCACCATTGTACCAGTTCATATAGTTGCAAAATCTAATAGAGCTTCTGATTTCAGACCAATAAATATGCTTAGCTGCTTTGAAAAATTTTTAGAAAAAGTAGTCTATGAACAAATTGTTGATTTAGAAAGAAACAAATTTTTAACCAAATTTCAATCGGGTTTTCGCAGTAAGCATTCATGCGAAACTGCGGTACAATGTGTGCTGGATGATTTGAGAGGAAATCTTAATCAAAAACATGTTACTGTTGGTGTTTTTTTGGATCTCCAAAGGGCGTTTGAAACGGTAGATAGGAATAGACTCTTAAAGAAATTAGAAAGAGCAGGGTTTAGTGGTACAGTATTGGAGTGGATTTCAAACTATTTAACAAATAGAAGGCAAAAGGTCAAAATTAAAAACTTTGTATCTGAGGAGTTAGAAATAAAACGAGGTGTACCACAAGGAAGTGTCCTAGGTCCCTTGTTTTTTTTTATTTATATCAATGACATTGCAGACATTCAGACTAAATGTTTATTTCACTTATTTGCAGATGACGCGTTCATTTATTATTCTTCTCTAAATATAATAGATATTGTTACAATGATTAATAAGTGCTTAGAAGTTGTTTATAGATGGTGTTGTGCTAATCTATTAAATATTAATTGTAAAAAAACCAAATTCATCATAATTGGCAATGAGCAGCAATATAAACTCTTTGTAGAACAAGATCATAAAATAATGATTGGGCCTTCCGAAATTGATATGGTAAATGAATACAAATATCTCGGAGTTATTATAGATCGACCACTTAAATTTAAACAGCACGCAAACCATTTATAAAAACAATTTCATTTAAAATAAATTATCTTTATCGACGTTCACAGCATTTATCTAAGTGGTCAAGGCTTGTTCTATTTAATTATCTTATACTACCTCACTTCACTTACTGCTCAACAGTATTATATCTCTTAAATCAAAATGAGAGAAATCGGTTCCAAAAATTGCAGAATAGAGCTATGCGAATATTATTGTCATGTTCTAGATTGACCCCTATTGTAGAAATGCGGATATCTTTAAACTGGCTCTTAATTAAAGACATGTTCCTGTACCAGACATTAATTTTTATATATAAAATAAAAATAGGTTACGGGCCTGACTATCTCCAGCATAAAATTACGTATAACCATCATGTTCACACCCATAATAAAAGACTTAGAAATGATTTTTATATTAGGACCGTCAACACCAGTCATGCTCAAAATTCAATATTTTTTAAAGGCTTACAGCAATTTAATGATTTGCCAGAAGATTTAAAGAAAATAGAATCAATTAATGAATTCAAATGTAAAATAAAACAATATTTGTTAGATGTAAGTAGCTAATTTAGTTATTGAAGTATTCATTATTAATATTTTATGTGTTGTTTAATTATATTTTATTTTATACGACTACAGTTATATTAATAACCTATTATATTTATACATTTATGTTTAGTGAGAAAGTGTATTATTGACTATGTATTAGTTGTTTTTTGACTAAATAAAGCATATATATAAGCTGTCAAATATATGTCAGACGTCTAATTTCTATTTTGATTGATGTAATGTCCATTTTAATAGTAAAATCGATTTGATGATTAAATTGTTACCATTAATTTTTAAATATACCTTTTCTTTTTAACAAATTATTTAAAGAATTTTAAAGTAACTACAATATTTTAAAATTTGGACAAAATACTATCTGTAAAATGCTTTAAAAATTTATAAGGCATATAAAATAATAAATCTAAAACCAGCCACATTTTGATGGAACCTTTATAGACAGATTTCCTAGTTTTATTTATTTTTTTTTTGATAAAATTATTTTGTGGTCATTGGAAAAATATTGTACCTCGCTAGCGTAAAAGTGAATTTCAGTACCAAAAATAAATGAAAATAAATAAAAAGTTATGACTTGGTATGAAAAATATGAGAAGTGACTAGATAAAAGCTACATATTATCTTGATGTCCCGACACCTCGACAGCCTAGTCCCCACTTGAAGTACTATTTCGACTGTTTCATTTCTATCCTGCATTCGCTAATAGTAGAGGAGACCACGGGAGGTCGACCTTCACCCATCTGATAACCAGATGAGGCATATTTTTTTATGAAATTTTATTGATTTATAACACTCCTATGGGAACTTGCCATTCGAAAAGTGTTCATGGCTATTTTTAATTAAATAAATTTTGATCAATTTTTTTTATAACCTTCACTTTTCTGATAACCGAACAAATTTAATTTTAACAGATAGATTTTAACATGGAGAATATACCTCGGTAGGCTTGTCTACTTAATTCTGTTCACGGCTACCTGGCAAGCAGGTATGAACAGGTTAGTCAATATAGGTAACTACACCCATATGTCAACCAATTAAAATTATTGATATCAGAAGAGAGATAATTCAATTACAAAAATAATCGTATAGGATTGCCTGCAAAAAACTGTTCATGGAATACTCTTGCCATGCTTTAAAATCGGAGCAATTAAATGTGTGAAATAGTAAAACGTGCGAAGTTCGTTGACAGGTGACAGGACACAACATAGCAGCTGCGCGTGACATGTCCGTTGAATGTAACTCAATGCCCATGCTATTTTACATGCGATTGACAGAGACAGTTTTTTTATTTTGGAGCGACTGACAATAAACTTTATTTTGATTATAATTATTATATTACTATAAAATACCTATACTTACAGGTATATAATAATCATTAAAAAAAATTAACAAATAAAAAAAATACATATTTGAAAAATATTTTTTTTATCTAAAAGTTAAGTAAAAATATGTTATTATAATAACGGAAAAAAATAAATGTACAATAAATATATTCAATACATTTATGGTATCAAAAGCGTTTATTACAAAGCAAATGGAATACATAGAAAAATAATATTATAAAATTCGTAATTATTATTCAAAATCTGAATCATCTGAAGCTACATTAAGATCTTCAGACTCTGATGATTCTTCTTCATTTACATTTTCCGTCATTTGCACAATGTCATTTATTTTCAAATGTGTTTGGTCCCCAACAAATCCAATCCATCTTTAGGAGCTGTTGTCTTTGAATGTGTATGTTCACTAGAATCAAGACTTTTGAGATCGTTTGAAGCATCTGAAAGTTTGAATAAAATTGTTACATATGAATAATTAAATTTTGGACGTTATTAAAATAATTTATACTCACATATTGTTAAAATTTTAATTCATATTAAGTTTATTAATTAATGAACATAATTATCACTAAACTCAAATTTACAGACAAAACAATATTTTTTAATTTTTAAATAATCAACATAATGATGATAAGAAAAATTATATTTATAAACGTAAAATATTTGAAAATCAACGTACAATTTTTTTCTTCATTTAAATTATAAAAAAAAATTCACATAGAAGTTGCTAATTTAAGATTTTGATTTAAACAAAAATTTTTACTTACTTCATGATTTTTTACAAAATTTTCAAATTCTTTATACTTATTACTTAAAACTGTAACTTTATTATAACACTTGGAGTGATAACCCACAAAATCTAGCGATTCTTCAGTTAACTGGATACTTCCATATTTGAAGTTTTGCTTTTTACGGAAAGCCAATATTAAAAAACATATTCGAAATAAATTATTATCAAAATCAAGAAGAGATTTTTTTGAACCATATACAAAACACTTTTTATTTATGTTTTACAATTTTTTTAATTTCCCAATTACAAATAATACATGTTGTCACAAAATAATTTTCAACAACAATTAAGGACTGTCTCTGTCAATCGCATCTAAAAGAGCATTCAAATTGGGTTACATTCAACGGACATGTCGTGTGTAGTTGCTATGTTGTGCCCTGTTCTATCACACAGACTTCGCATGTTTTACTTTCTCTCTCAGACATATTTAATTGTTCCCATTTTAAAACTTTAAAGCATGCAAGAGTATTCCATGAACAGTTTTTTGCAGGCAAGTCTATACGATTATTTTGTAATACAATTATCTCTCTTCTGATATCAATTTTTTTTGGTTGACATATGGGTGTAGTTACCTATATTCATATTCTCCATGTTAAAATATATCTGTTAAAATTAAATTTGTTCGGTTATCAGAAAAGTGAAGGTTATAAAAAAAATTGATTAAAATTTATTTAATTAAAAATAGCCATGCACACTTTTGGAATGGCAAGTTCTCATAGGAGTGTTAATAAATCAATAAAATTTCATAAAAAATTTGCCTCATCTGGTTATCAGATGGGTGAAGGTCGACCTCCCAGTCTCTTAGACTAAATGTTATTTTATCTTTATCATCCTATGAAATTGTAAATAAAATCACAATATTTTTAATTTTGACAAAACACTATCTGTAAATGGCGTTAAAAATTATTCAATAAGGCATATAAAAAAATGCAGCAGATCATCTAGGCAATTTTGAGTTCAAACATATGCCATATTTAAAGTTTTTTCTAAAAACAACCATACCGGCATTTTTAGGCTCTTGAAACATAAAACTTTACTAAAAAAGCTTTAAAACAAACCAAAGTGCACTTCTGGTTTCATTCGAAGCTAGCAAAGCATCCTGTGTTAATTTTTTTTAGTATTTTAAGAACCTAAAAATAGTCTAAAAATATGTTGTTGTTGTTGCTGTTTTTGGAAAAAACTTCAAAAAACTGAGAGCACCTTGATTTTTGCAAAAAACCTGGAGCATAATATTTTTGAATAGGGTATAAAAATAGCCTGAAAATATGGCATAGGTTTTTTAATTCAAAATTGCCTAGATGGTTTGCTGCCTTCTTTGACACTATAAAATAACAAATCTTAAACCAGCCACATCTTGATGGAACCTTCATAGACCTCTTTATAGACAGATTTTCTAGTTTTAATTTTTTTTTTTTTTTGATAAAATTATTTTGTACATCACTAAAAATATTGTAGGTACATCACTGGTGTGAAAGTGATTTTTCAGTAACAAAAATAAATAAAAATTGATATAAATGAAAATAAATAGAAATAAATAAAAAATAGGTGGAGTGAATTGATAAAAACAACATATCTCTATTTCCTGACACCTTGACAGCCTAGTCTCCACTTCTATCTTGCATTCGATAACAGATAACACACAATGTTTTATTAAAATAAGTAGGTACTAGGTATTGTATAACATATATAATAATATTTAATTAAGAAAAAGGATGAGGGAAGGTCGATTTAAGTCGGAAACTTAGACTAGAGGAATAGAATCACTAGATTGTTTTTTTTTAATTTTACTCAATCCTACAAAATGCCATTAGCTCCACAAAAAAGAATGGAAAACATTAAATGGGATAAGGACCAAATATGGACATTAGTGGCAATATAAGACCTGATTGCGAGAGTGGAGATCCTTCACATTACACAATATTGCTGTGAGCTGTCCTGACAAGATTTAAGACTCCCTACAAGCATTTCGGGTGGTAGGAGCCACTCAAGACAATGATACATCCAACTGTGAAGAATGATGGACTTCGTCATTCTGTCATCTTATATTCTTTTGCAGTTAAAATAAATGTAATTACCTTGGAAATGTCTTATTAAAGAACCCTCTATAGGAGCTGGAATACGACATATTAGGTGAGAAATAAATAGCACTAGCATTAATATGTTTATTGGTAGAAACATCGGCTACCGTTGATAAAAAATAGTACATCATTCCAGGATCGTACGTGTCATTAATGGCAGGTCTAATAAATCTGCTCTGGAGAATGTAGGACCAAAAGAAGGCCCTGTTCATTGCCATATTATGCATATGCAGCAATTGAGTCCTGTTAGGAAACACGGGATTGATGTTGACGTCTTTGATGTCTGGCAAGTGCGATACCGTTCCCTCGGGCAGGTACAAATCATTAACATGTGTGATTTCACAATTGTCTTTGTTCACCCTTTGCATGGCAATAGAAATTATGTCAAAGGGGTCCCTTGGTTGCCACTCATACTGCCCCGACACGCCCACCGTTAATAAACATAAACAAGTCAAAAACAATTTTAAACCGCACATTTTGAAAGACTACACTGTAACAGGCACTTTTTCGTATCACCGTCGCATATTTTGGTTGATTAAAACACGAATTTTTTGTTGTTTTACTTGTTTCGGCTGTCACAGTTTACGACCAAGCCCTACAAACAATGCGAATACAGTCATAGGCAAACCCCGCCGTACAAATTCGATGATTTGCAGTCAGTGGTCGTAGTGGGAGACTAATGACTGCACCTGTGTGTCAGTGGGCGTTTCTTGAGCAAACAAGTGGTCGTTTCATTTCAAAACTTATAACGTCTTATAGGCAACCCTACATACCGATATATCCAAAACTGGTTGCATAACAACAATATTTATTCCGGAAATCTACGATTGTTTGCTTGAAGTTAATACTTTTTATTGATAGATGGCGATATAGTATGAATTTAATTTTAAAAGTTGATTTATTTGTCTCTTCTATTTTACAATGTATATAGCCAGGGACGTAAACTACAGGGGGGACTAGTTAAAAATTACTTTGTAATCATTTTTAAAAATATTAGGACGATTTGATCAAAAAATTTGGTATTTGTGCCTTTCAGAGTCAACATTTGTTTTATTTTTGTAATTTTGGATATTTTTTATAAAATTCTACTGAGCAAACATTTTTGGTGTCACAAGATATACAACCAGCAACAAAATAATTTAAATATAGTTTGTCATTTTATCTACTATCCAAAAACACATTTGGATCATAATTTTGAATTTTTTGGTGTTTTTGAAATAAATCATTTACTCTTGTTGGGAATTTATGAGAAAATCCAAAATTACAAAAGTAAAAAATAAATTAAAATGAAAATATCCACCTTTGAGTGTGAATATCTCGAAAACCAATCACTTTATGAGTTCCCAACAAGGGTACATGATTTATTTAAAAAGTATAAAAAAATTAAATACCTATACTAAATAAGTTTTTGGACATTGGCGTAAAATATAGCGGGGATGAAGGTGTCTTTTATCCATGCCGTACGCCACTGGCAAAGTTTATTTAACTTATGTTTTTGCTAATACCTAGGTGTATTATATCTTATGACTCCAAAAATGTTTGCAGAATTTAGTAAAATTCGAGGCAAAATTATATTGAGAAATAAAAAAAAACACAATAATCATTGAATTTTCAACTTCAACACCCCGTATTTCGGAAACGAGTAATATTTTATTTAATTATGCCTGGTTTAATCGTCTTATTTTTAATCAGATAATATTCAGTTGTTCTGTGTCCCATTCTTTTCTTTTGATATAATGAAGTATTAGCCAAAGAAGCAGTTTCTTTTAGGAGGGAAACGGTCGTTCGACATTTCTATGGCCCGAACTTTGAATTTTTTTCCTTAGTTTTTTATTTTTATACATAGAAATTCCCAAATTAAACATTTTGAATTTTACGGAGGATTAAGTCATAAATGCTATAAAACAATTGAAGTCATTCATCTATGACAATAAGACCTGATTTAATTCCAGCCTTTAATTACAGATTATATTTATGCACCTACCCTATGTGCTATTTTTAATATGGTAAAGTCACCTGTCTTCTTAAAATCCTGTAAACTGTCACGTGTTATGTCTATATTTTAAAAAAGGAAATATTAATAATGTAACTATACCGATTCTTTAAAATATTTGAAATTTTGTTACATGGCTTCATGAACAAAAAATGTGTCAGTGGAAAATTAAATCAAGAGTCAAGTTTATATTATATTACTGATTTTATTAAAGTCTTTGAAGCTCAACCATCATTTCTTAGTCAATAAACTTATCTTTTATGGATTATTATCTTCAAATTTTATTTTTCTTTTTCAGACATCCAGAAATCTTTATAGGTGTGTATCAATTATCTTGCTTTTAAATCCGTCTACTATGAATTGTAGAAGAAAAGTAATCCCAATAATATTTGACTACGGTTTAGATCAGGGATTGTAAAACTATTTTAGGCAAGAGACCCCTTTTCCAAAATGAACTGATACCTCAGACCCTCATAGTCAAATTACTTTAAAAATCCTATCTTAAGTTTTTTCCTATTGATACAAAATACTTACCAATTTAGAAATTTTGCGGTTGGTTAAGTAAGTAAACTTCTCATCAGAATTTAACAAAATAAATAGACATTGCTTCGAATCTTGTTGACAGCATTTATAACATTGTAAAAACTGGTGCAATCTAGGACTCAGATTTTTTGCAACTAAATGCTGTCTGTGAATCACACATTGAATGACCAGTACCTCAGACAGTTGTCGCTTTAAGTGACAGAAACTGTTCTTCCATGGAATAGCTTTGTTGGTAAAAAACGTTCCACAGCCTAAATAATCGATTCATTTCTGGCACCAGTCTCTAAATATGTAGTTTCTTGGCAGAAATTTTAATCTTTAATATATCGAACATATCCTAACAACAGAGCTTCATTGTTGGGTAATGTAGACTCGTCCAACTGGAGAGATAATCTGTTGATCTGTAAGAAATTGCATATAATAGCATGTGCGGACTTGGGCTATACATTGTTGAGGACCTCCGCAAAGGCTAGTAAAATAAGCTGCTCTCCAATTGTGTGGGCTTTCCCAGATTTCGCTATTAGTAAAGATATAACGCTCGTAAACTATTAACGTCTTGCATAGATGATGACGCAAACATGGATCTCATGGATAGCCTTTTCTCTAGTTTTTCTTTAAGTGCTTGAAATAATGACAAGGGCTTACTTTTTGTGTCAGCATGTACTCTTGATAAGTGGTCCTCCATTTTTGAAGGCTTCATAGCATCGTTACTGAATAATTACTGAATACTTTTTCACATATGAGACATATCGGCAAGTGTTGATATGATAGAGATGGAATACATCCAAACTGCAAGTAGGTAGTCCAAACTGTATTGTCTGCATTTTTTTTCGTGTGTGCCATCATAAAACTCGCAGTAAACCTATAAAAAAAAAATATGTTTAAGAAACTACTTAAAAAAAAAACAATAAATTTGCACACGAGCTTATTTTAATCACACCTAGACACTGAATGTTTTTTAGGTATGCTCACGAACTTACTCATTGATAAACTTGGATATAGTCACTGTAGTATAGAACATTTGGAGACCATTCAGTTGGGCCAAAATACCTGCTATAATCCGTTGATGAAAAAGTCCCAAAATAATCCTATAGGTCAGTTGGTCCAATATCAACTAAATAATAATTATATTTATTCCAATGAAGTATGTTAAAATTTATTTGACAAATATTTAATAAAATTAAAAATAGACTTAAATTTTTAATAGAAATTAAAAAAGGAGGAAGTTCTCAATTCGTCGGAATATTTTTATTATGTATTGTCAGCGACAATTGTTTATCACATTGTCCGATTTCTAGGATTCTTTTTCTTTTAAAAAGGACGTGCCACATGGGTGGTCCCATATACATTTGGTCAGGATCTAATGATGAGATCCATGAGAAAAACACCAAACACGATTTTGGAGTCGGTTTTTTAAAATTACTTTTATAACTTGTATAATATTATATCATCAATAAAATCTTTTTTTTTTCGAGTACCCTTTGAGTTTGTTTATTTTAGATGACTGTATTGAATACTGAACTAGAAATAAATATTCTTAATTTGTTAAAACAGCTACTAGTACTTTAAAAGGACATTAAGGGTTAGGGGTAGTTAATCTCTTGATTTCATATTTTAGACCCAACTGAACGGTAGGATTAGGAACTACTTGATTTTTTGGATTAATTACGGAAAATTTGTATTAGGTACCAATCAGCGTAAAAAACGAAAACAAAGAAAACTAAACATTTATAATTTTAGGTAACAACTTTTCTAAAGTAATTTCAAAAATACTTGGAAAAATATTATAACGTTTTTTGGTGTTTTTTCATAAACTGCAGATACGCTATTAACGCGATAAGTTAACTAAGCACTTTGTAAATTCTTTTTCAATCATCACATTACCTATTTAATTATGTACCTAATCACCATGGAGGAAGGATCTAATCACTTTGTAATCTCTTGAAATAAATTAGTAAATGAATGTATTATTATTCAAGCTATAAAAATATATTATAATTAAATTTGGAGTGAGGGTAGCCATATGTGAGTAGTAGGGATTAAGTATAAGGGGTTAAAGAAAAGGTCCTTTATTTCTCACAAGTCAATAAATTTTGACTTGTGAGAAATAAAGGACCTTTTCTTTAACCCCTTATACTTATAATTAAATATTTAAAAAAAAAATTCGTTTTATAATATTGATGATTTATACATTTTCATAAGCTAGATACATAATAAAAGCACAGATAAAAGTGCAATGTTTATCCAAGATTTGATTAAAAAAAAATTATAATTTTATCAAAAAGAATCCATTCAGAGTAGGCCCTGTTTTGTAATCCTCCCAAGGAAGGACTCCAAACATATCTTTGCTTTGACCAACACCGCAGCCATACCAAGCCGCCGATCATATCCCATCTTGACTTGGCGGCGGCTGCGGCTAACCAGTGACATACCTGGCGGTACTTTCTACCAGAGATCCAGGGACCTTTCCCAGGGTACGAGTGAACTACGAGAGCTCTGTATGTGACCCCGCCCGTCTGACTTGAAAGGATTCGGTAAAGACGCAGCGTTAGACGAGGTATTTGTATGTAACTCAGTTAAGCTTTCGTCTGCGGCATGTATTGGGTGTAAAATCCAAAGTAGTCGACGCGGTGCACAGTGGACTGAACCGGGCTGAAAATGGCCAAACTTTTTTTAGGTTCATTGAAATTTCTTGGTAAATGAAAACGAATGAGCTTAAAAATGTAAAGTAAACGGCGCAATAGAAATTAAAATGAAATTTGGTACAATTTAACATGTTGGTGTAGAGTATAGAGCAGCTATACTCAACCTTTTTTTCTTTCGGGCCACATAAATCTGTTTGTTATGCTACACGGGTCACAATATTTTTAGGTAATAACTAGAGTTACCACCTTTTTGAAATGCAAATAAAGGACACTGGGTGACGATAGGGATCCGCTTTAAATATTTTCTAAAAAAGAAAAAAAGGTCCTAATATTGTTTTGGTTTTCATACTTTCTAAAGAAAAGGGTCAAGGAGCCTATTTCATAAAACTACTTTACAATTTTTCACTTTGCAAATTTACGTGTGCAAAATACTTGTGTGTCATAAAATAATATTGGTATCTTTGCAGATTATTAATTATTCATTTCCACT